ATCTTTTCGGGGTTAGCCTCAATTCCCCGCTGACTGACCATGAACCTCAAAAACTTCCTAGATTCTACGTCGAAGGCACATTTTTCTGGATTGAGCTTCATTTGGTACTTGCGTAGGGTGGCGAAGGTTTCTCGCAGGTCAGCCAGATGATTGGTGGAGAGCTTGCTCTTGATCAGCATGTCATCGACATATACTTCCATGTTCCGGCCTATCTGATGTTGGAAGACGACATTGATCAACCGTTGGTAAGTGGCCCCGGCATTCTTTAACCCAAATGGCATCACACGGTAATGGTAGGTACCGCGGTCGGTAATGAAGGAAGTGTGCTCCCAGTTAGATGGATGCATCAAGATTTGGTTGTATCCAGAGAAGGCATCCATAAAACTGAGCATTTGATGACCGGTCGTGGCGTCGACTAGTAGATCTATGCGAGGGAGAGGGTAGCTGTCCTTGGGGCAAGCTCGATTAAGGTCGGAGTAGTTGACACAGAGTCGCCATTTACCATTGTTTTTACGAACCAGAACCACATTCGACAGCCATCTGGGGTAGTCCACATTAGTGATAAACTGTGCCTCAAGGAGTTTGTCTACTTCAGAAGCAATAAGATTTATTACGTTCCGGGTGAAAAATGCGCTGCTTCTGGCGAATAGGTCAGAAATGGGGCTCAACACTGAGACGGTGATTGATGAAGGAGGGATCAATACCCGGCATATCAGAGTGAGTCCAGGAAAACACGTCGTTGTGCTCAATCAGGAGGGTGGTGAGGTCGGTATTGGCCTGAGGGGACAGTTTGCTGCCAATCTTGGCAGTTTTTACCGGGTTGGTGGGGTTGATAGAGACCTCGATAAGCTCTTCCACTGGTTCCCCCCTGACCAGCTCATCCTCGTCCCTGACGTCAAGTCCTTCAATGATCATGGTTTCCTTAAGCTTAACTTATTTAAGTGAGGCAACATAGTATTCTTTGGCTACAGTCTGCTCTCCCCTGACTGTGCAAACCCCCAGTTCGGTGGGGAACTTGACGGCAAGATGGAAGGTGGAGGTGATGGCTTGGAAGGTGTTTAGGGCAGTGCGGCCAAGGATGATGTTGTAAGCAGAAGGGCAGTCGACAACGAGGAAGGTGAGCAGCTTTGTGGTCTGCTTAGGGTACTCGCCAATTGTGATAGGAAGATCGATGGAGCCGATAGAGGTCACCCGGTCGCCAGTGAAACCGACCAAAGGGGTTTGGAGGGGAGACAGACTTTCTTCCTCAATCTTGAGCTAGCGGAAGCAATTGAAGAAGATGATGTCTGAAGAACTGCCGTTGTCGACGAGAACCCGTCTGACCTTGTAATTGGAGAGGAGGGCGGAAATAATGAGAGGGTCATCATGAGGATAACGGATGCCTGTGCAGTCGGCGTCCGTAAAGGTGATAGTCTCGGTCCACTGCCTGGGGTGTTTGGAGGGTCGATCCAATGTGGCAACTTCTTTGTCTGAGCCTTGCCTTATTTTCCTGAGTTCTGCCCGTTGAGCCGAGCGAGATAGTCCTCCGCATGCAAGCCCGCTGAAAATAACTCTGATTTCTCCAACAGGTGGGGCGGGGTTACCTTGTGCCTGAGGTTGCTGTGGAGGGCGATCATGGCCTTGGTTAGGTTGGGCTGGCTGCCGGGGAGGGGTGCGTCGGCGGTTGTTTCTGATGGGTTCAGTCCTTTGCCTCTGCTGAGGAAGGGTATCCGTGAACCGGCTAAGACGTCCCTAACGTATTAAGGTCTCGACCTGATCTTTGAGGTTAACACAGTCATCGGTATTATGGCCGTGGTCTTGGTGAAAACGGCAATATTTGGACTGGTCTTTCTAATTGGAGGGGGTTCGTGATGGTTGGGGCCATTTGAGGGAGTAATCCCGCTGGATCTGATTGAGGACTTGTTCCATGGGGGAATTAAGGGGTGTGCCCCGCTCGAACCGATCGGGTGGTCGGGCTGGTGCCGACCGGTCGGCTCGGGGGGGTCGGTCAGTATAATGCAGAGTTTGGTTATTGTACAGGGTGTTTCTGGCTTCTGAGTCTTTTCGTTTTTCTCGGGAGGTCGGGTTTTTTGTTGTATGGTCTTGGCGAGCGGCTAGGAAATCTTTTGCATTCATATATTTTTGGGCTTTGGAGAGTAGGGCTGCCATGGAAGTCGGGGGGTTTTTTGAGAGGGAGAAAAGGAAATCAGATGACCGTAGGCCGGCCATGAAAGCCGTAAGGATGACCTTGTCATCGTTTTCCGCTACCTGCAAGGCTTCGGTGTTGAAGCGGGTAACGAAACTACGCAGCGACTCCCCTTCGGTCTAGCGGATATTGAGGAGCTGGGTTGCTGGACGTCGCTGGTGCTGGGCTCCTATGAAATGGCTGAGGAAGGAGTTACTGAGGTGTTGGAAAGTGGAGACGGAGTCTGCTGGGAGTTGACTAAACCAAAGTCGAGCCGACCCATTGAGTGTTACGGGGAAAGCCCGACACATGATTTCGTCGGGGAATGCATGGAGGATCATGAGGGTTCTGTAGGTCTCCAAGTGATCGACTGGGTCTGTTGTACCGTCGAAAGAGTCGATGGTGGGCATTTTGAACTTAGGAATGAGAGGTTTGTCTTTGATGGAGGCAACAAATGGGGAGTTGGCTGTGGTAGATGGTTTATGTTGGATGTTCTGTATGACCCTTTGGAGTTGGAGCTTCATGGCTCGGAGTTCGGCGTCCTAGAGAGGGATGTTGTCACCACCGGAGGACAGCGGGGGCTGGACGCTGCTGGCCTCTCCTTCAGAGATTGGTGCCGGGATCGATGGTTGTGGACCTCGGGGTAGCAGGTTTATACTTGGGGGAGGGGGTTGCAAGCCTTCCCAGTTGGGTGGATTAGGCTACGAGGTAGTATGGCTCGGGGCTCGTTCTTGGTTGGGAGGAATATCTGGAGGTGGTGGAGGGGGCACAGGAAGGTTTCTTTGGAGTAGAGCTTTAATCAGGGCTTGAAAGCCGTAAGGATGACCTTGTCATCGTTTTCCGCTACCTGCAAGGCTTCGGTGTTGAAGCGGGTAACGAAACTACGCAGCGACTCCCCTTCGGTCTAGCGGATATTGAGGAGCTGGGTTGCTGGACGTCGCTGGTGCTGGGCTCCTATGAAATGGCTGAGGAAGGAGTTACTGAGGTGTTGGAAAGTGGAGACGGAGTCTGCTGGGAGTTGACTAAACCAAAGTCGAGCCGACCCATTGAGTGTTACGGGGAAAGCCCGACACATGATTTCGTCGGGGAATGCATGGAGGATCATGAGGGTTCTGTAGGTCTCCAAGTGATCGACTGGGTCTGTTGTACCGTCGAAAGAGTCGATGGTGGGCATTTTGAACTTAGGAATGAGAGGTTTGTCTTTGATGGAGGCAACAAATGGGGAGTTGGCTGTGGTAGATGGTTTATGTTGGATGTTCTGTATGACCCTTTGGAGTTGGAGCTTCATGGCTCGGAGTTCGGCGTCCTAGAGAGGGATGTTGTCACCACCGGAGGACAGCGGGGGCTGGACGCTGCTGGCCTCTCCTTCAGAGATTGGTGCCGGGATCGATGGTTGTGGACCTCGGGGTAGCAGGTTTATACTTGGGGGAGGGGGTTGCAAGCCTTCCCAGTTGGGTGGATTAGGCTACGAGGTAGTATGGCTCGGGGCTCGTTCTTGGTTGGGAGGAATATCTGGAGGTGGTGGAGGGGGCACAGGAAGGTTTCTTTGGAGTAGAGCTTTAATCAGGGCTTGGTTTTGCTCGGCCATGCGATTAATGCTGTTGGTAAGCTCGATGAAATATTGTGGTGGGTTGTTTGGATTGGGGGGGTCAGTCTGATGGTCGGCAGCATTATGGTGAGAAGCCATGGATCTTGTCGTGACCATACACTTTGATGGGTAGTAGGAAATGGTTATTAGGACAGGGTCTCCGGCGACAATGAGCACAACTGGCGCGCGGAGCAAAGCTTTCCCACAGACGGCGCCAACTGATGATACAGTTTGTGATGGTAGAACGGGTCGGACTGATCCACGCTCCTTAAGCCTATGTCCGAATGACCAAGCCCACCTGAAGACCTGAACAAGAGTTCAATGGGGAACGGGGAGTCCCCCAGCGAACCCTCCAACGAGCAAGTTAGAGAGAGAAATGGAGTGTAGAGATGGAATAGAGATAGAAAAGCTTAACCTTCTACATGTCTTCGACGTCTGCTTATATCATTTGGTAATCATTACATTGTCTCTTCCGACTTGTCACCTTGGCCGAAAGTCTATGCTGTAGCTTACCTTGTTCAGGGTGAGGGCTTGTTGTCCCGACGGAAAGGGGTTATCGCAATAAATGCTATAAGGGGGCCTCATTAATGGCGATGTGCAGTGACAATAACTTTGCAGATTTTTGTCTGCTGATGTGGTTTGCCCTTTTCTCGCCATGTGTCATGATGTCATTGGTTCTAATTGCTACATGGGGCTTCGGCAGTGCTGGGTTTTAGCATTTGAGATATGTGTTGGGCCCTAAATGGTGGGCTCTAATTTTTATGGGCTTACCCATGTCAATATATAAAATAAAAAAATTATTTGCTATATTTGGATCATAAATTTAGGTAGAAAGTTGAAAAAAAAAATAAAAAAAAAATTAGAGAAATGTGAATGTAATATATATATATATATATATTTTTTTTTTTTTCATTTTTCTATTACTATCCAAATTTTGGACATAAAATTATCAGTCAGAAAATGGATCGGCTTCCTGCGGTGCATGATCTGGATAGGGTGCTGTCTCTGCCCGTGGAATCCACTATGAATCTTTTTTTAATAATTTAAATCTTCATTTTGTTAGCCCGTTCATTTAATAATAATAATAATTATTGTAACTTTTCCAATTTATCAATTAAAAATAGATTGAGTTACCACAAAAAAGCATCAGATACAATTTTCTCTCTATGTTCCGTCCTCTGAAATTTTTGAATGCTTGTTAAAAAAGATAACCCCCAATTACAATGTAGCCTAATTTTTGTAAAACAGGGGAGTGCATATAAAAAAAAATGGGAAATGTTGTCTAAGAATGTTCGAGGTTCAATCCCATACCTTTTTTTCCAGGTAAAATCCATCAAAAATAAGGCTATTTAATTAATTTCATTTTGTCTTAAACGCTTCCTATTGATTTCTTGGAAATTCTTTGATCAGGACAGTGAGAAGTTTGAATCTAAGAACAACACAGAATGCTCACTTACAAATATGTTTAAATTACTTGATGCTGGCTTCTTCAATTATACAGAGGTAAATTAGACAGCTTGTTTGTAATATACTTCAACTCCAATGATTTTTGAGGATATATGTTAATTATGTCCATTTGCTCTTAGATGCTGGAGATTATAAAGGGTGTAAAAGAGTTCAATCAACCGATAATCAAATCCAATCGGAAATTAGTTGCTTCTACGAATGGAGGGTTACACAATCCATCTTGTTTGGTTTTTAATCCGCATTGGGGCAATGATCAAGCACAAGATTTGCGCAAGAAGTTAAATATTCCTTCTCTCTTCGGTGTACAAAGGCCTAAAAGTGAAGAAGACATTGCTTTCATGACTGTAATCCATTTCTTGTACCACAAAATTTGAATTAAATTGTGTTTTTTTTTTTTTTGGTTAATTTTGGAATATGGTTTGGGGTGGTCATTAGGTTCTTGAACTGGGTCAACTCATTAAGACAAAACAAATCACGTCCGAGGAGCTTACTGGGATTTTCTTGAAGAGATTAAAGAGGTAATACTGAGTAACTATCCTTTTTTTCAGTGTTAATTATACTTTTGCTTTTAGATAATGATGATGTCTTAGTGGATATGTACAGATACAATCCTGTTCTTGAAGCTGTGGTCACTTATACTGAAGAACTAGCATATAAACAGGCAAAAGAGGCCGATGAACTACTTGCGAAAGGCGTATACTTGGGTACCTCTCTGTTCTGTTTACTGTCAATCTGATCATAAAGTAATGTAAATTTTCATAGCACAATTGAAGATCTGATTACTGAACATAATATATTCAGTAGAATATGGCAAAGTAGTTCTGGTGGGGTGTGTTCGGGTCATGGAAATAACCTCTTCAGAAATGGGCTAAGGATGGGTACATCTTGTTATCCCCGAATTCCTGCTTTAGCAGAAATCTCGTGCACTGGGTAGCTTCTTTTTAATTTTTTTTTCTAACCATTGAATCTGTTGAATTCACCCCATGTGAAGGAGGTGATGCTCTTCCATGGGAACACACCTTGGTCAACAATGGAAGGCCACCAACCATCTTGAAGAGTCAAGGATGGAGGCTGCCCAAAGGCTCTCCCACCTACTCCCTCACCTATAAATGGAGGTTGAGAGGAGAGAGCAAAAGGTGAGCAAACCTTGAGACAACAAAGAGAGTGAGAGATGTGAGGCGGAGAGACCGTCTCCCTCGGTGTGAGCGAGGGAGACGGGTGAGTGGCTGAGTGAGGAGAGTGTGAGCTCCTCCTCTATTGTAATCTTTCTGTAATCTCCTCATTGGTATAGTGATAACCGGTTACTCTCCCGTGGACGTAGGCATTGGGCCGAACCACGTAAAATATTGTGTCTCCTTATGTGTGGGTGTGTTTTTCTGCTTGCAATGATTTCTATAAGGTCTTGGGCGGGATCCCAGATCCCAACAGAATCATCATCCACTATTCAAAAATGGGATAAGACTGCGTATATCTTGTTCTCTCCAGATCGCTACTTTATAGGATTCTCGTGCACTAGTTCAAATTTAAAAATAAATAAAGTAAAATAAAATAAACAACGATTGAATCATTATTTTCAGTGGACTGCAACTGCAATTTTAAATTTTATGAACTTGTATTGAGATTTTTGGCCAAATTGCATTATAGGTCCTCTCCATGGAATCCCATATGGGTTAAAAGATATAATTGCAGTACCCCATTACAAGACAACATGGGGTTCAAGAAGTTTCAAAAATCAAGTTCTAAACATTGAAGCTTGGGTTTACAAGAGGTACACAATTAATCATTCAAAGCCACTTTACAATGCAGTATCTTAATTAGTTCATCATATAAAGTCATTTACTTTGTTAATGACACTCGATACAGGCTGAAGTCTGCAGGGGCAGTTCTCGTGGCAAAACTTGTCACGGGATCATTGGCATTTGATGATATCTGGTTTGGGGGCAGAACAAGGAACCCGTGGAATATTGAGGAATATTCCACGGGTTCATCTGCTGGGCCTGCTGCCTGCACCTCAGCAGGTATGGTTCCGTTCGCAATTGGTTCTGAAACAGCTGGTTCCATCACCTACCCTGCTGCTCGTTGTGGTGTGACTGCACTGCGCCCAACTTTTGGTTCTGTTGGAAGAACCGGTGTCATGAGCATATCTGAGAGCTTGGTATGAATCAAAATATTTATTTTGTGCGACACATTTTGTGTCATTTTTTTTCTTCTGTTAAATTGTAGGTGGTAATTTTTGACAGGATAAGCTCGGGCCTTTCTGTAGAAGTGCTGTGGATTGCACAGTTGTTCTTGATGCCATTCGAGGGAAGGATCCGGATGATCTGTCATCGAGAAATATTTCCCTCGATGATCCGTTTTCGGTTGACATTGCAAAGTTAACTGTTGGATATCTTGATGATGCTGAGATGGAGGTAAGTTCACTTTAAAATGCTTCCGTTTTCTGTTTTAGTAGTAATGCTTTTTGATAGCTGAAAGTGAAAACTTTGAAACAAAATGCATGAAATTGATAAAGTTATCAAATGACATTGAGAAACTACCCACGTTCTGGATGATCCATTTCCGGTGACATCACAAAGCAAATTGTTTGATAATTTTTGTGTTGTCATGGCAGGTTGTCCATGTTCTTCGGTCCAAGGGTGTTAATATGGTTCCTTTCAAACTGAATTACAGTGTTGACTCAGTTCAAGGTATAATGAATTTCACAATGGATGTAGATATGTTGTCCCACTTCGATGAGTGGCAGCGATCTAGGCAGGATGACAACTATGACGCTCAAGATCAATGGCCTGTTGAACTTCGTCGTGCTCACATGGTACCTGCAGTGGACTATCTTCAGGTAATTTCATTTTGAACCTCTGATTGATCGTTACCAGTTAAATGGGAACAATTACTGCTTAAAAAAGACTAGAATTATGAATTTTAGATTCATTAATTAGACTAGAGAATTAGCATAAAAGATTACCCTTCAAAGAATTGGTTAGAGAAATATTTCATGCTTTATTCTGTTTCCCTAATCTCTGAATTTCTGGTGCTTTTTTCATATTTTAAGCAGTTCTAGTAGTTTGAGTAGCATTTTGGAACTGTTATGGGCTATAAAGTCGGTAGGGGGGGTGGTGGATACTTGTTTTGATTATTTCATAACAAATTAGCACGTTGAGTATTCCTATATGGATTCTCCCAACTCCTTGTGAGCTTGAGGCTGTATTTGGAATTTTGATATGACCACAGATTTGTAGAGAGCAGAAAGGGATTGGATTGTCTTCGACTGTCTAGTTTGTCCTAGTATGGGCCTATTTTGGACCCATTTTAACAATCCAAATGGTTCATTTTATAAAACTCATAGAGCAAATTATCCATACCAAAATTGATTGCCACTTGATGGGACGACGTTTATCTAAAAAAATAATTACAAACAGTATGATTTTGAAAGCAACAATGATTCATCTCACTAAAAATATCACCACTAATAGCACTAATGCATTAAAAAAGTAAAAAAAAAAAAAAAAATACAACTCCAAGACCAAAACATCACATCATTAATCGCGGGATCCACTGCCACCTAATTAGTGAGAGCACTAATTAGTGCTCCCAAGCATTTTTCTTTTGAAAGTAGTCCAACCTAAATCTCTTTGGGCCCAACTCTGGAAAGTAAAATCCAGATTAGACAAACAAAAATCTATGAAGATGCCTCTAGTTACAAAAGGAAAATGATATTATTGCCTAACTTTTACATAATTATTAATCAGAATGATGTGACAATAATATTTTTAAAAATATATATACCAACTTGATAAACTTCTATTTTAGCAAAAGTCTAGGAAACCAGATAAGTTTCCATAAAATTACAATGAATTTTTGATGTACAGTGTGTACAACTTTGTATTGTGGAGTCAAATCTTGAGTGAATCTTGATGATTTATTTCAAATTTTAGATAGTTTGCTGAGCTTTTTTGGATTTATAGTGGTTCTATTTGTTTTAAAGTGATAAAATCAAATCTTGTCAGGTTTTTTACAATTAAAAAAATGTCACTATCATGTCATTCTAATCGATGATTGTGTAAAAAAATAAAAATAAAAATAAAATTCTGAAAGAATAGCACTTTCCGTAACAGATTGCATTTCCTGTTTACTATTATTTTGTACTATCATCACTTCATTGTTAATATCTGAATGATGATCCGAACAGGCACAGAGAGCGCGAGGGAAATTGATAAGGGAAGTGAAAGAGAGCTTCACAGTTGATGCATTTGTTGGAAATGCAACAGACTGGGAAAAAGTTTGCATGGGAAATCTAGTTGGGATGCCAGTAATAGTAGTTCCAACTGGTTTTAAAATGATATCAGACCCACCTCCTTTAAACCATACTCGCCGAAGAACTACCATCACTACTGGCATTTATTCCCCTCCAGAGCATGATCACATTGTAAGTTTCCTCTCCATTTAACCTACATTTTTTAGGATTTGGGGTTGTTGATGTGACAATGATCTGAACTGGTCATATTATAATGCTCATTGAGTAGAGTTTTTATGAAAAAAAATCAAGTTAATAAGACGTTTATAACTACATGATCAGGTCACATTTGTTTTCAAAAAATAGATAATCTATTATCAAAATCATGCTTGTTCTTTATTTATTTTTTAAAAATAAATGTGATCTTATTATGCGACTATAAATGTCTAATTAGCTTTATTTTTTTTATGGACGATCTATTCAACAAACCCGATCCGAGGTTACAACAGCATCCCAAGTCCACATTTTTATGTACCCTTTTTTCTTAAATGGATGCAATTATGTTGGAGTTAGAGAGAAAATTTAGCACTGATCGAACGCTCTAATGTTGGTTGAGAAACCAAAATTCACAAGTTCTAATTTTGTTTACACACTGGCAAGAAGTGTAAACAAAGCATGTATTTTGATTGGCTCAAAATTGTGGAACCCTAATTTAAGTTGAATCAATATGCTCCTTTAATATGGATTTGAACCAATAAGATAGTGTGTATACTCTATCAATGCGTAAACAAATTCATTTTCAAATAGATCACATAATACTTTTTTGTTTTGCTGATTGTTGGATTTAATATAAATAGGGAGTTTACCACCAAAAAAAAAATTCTACAAAAATTTGTAGATTTTGGAATAAATAAAGACGTAGAGTGGTGGTGGTTCTATAAATACCACCCTATCTAATTTTTATTACAAATCACTGACTTTTAACTAATGTTCAAAAAATCAAAATATAGAGTGTATTTAAATATTTTTTTTCTCGATATTTGTATAATTCTTTTACAAAATAAATGCACTACACTTCATTAAAATGATCAAAAATTAAAATTTCAATCCATCTTGAGTAGTCACTCCAATTTGTCACCTTGTTTGATTTTCTTTGATTTTTTAAAAATTGAGATTTTGGTTTTTTATATTTTTTTAGTGGATTTTTAAATATTATACGTAATTTTTTTTATATGCTTTTCAGATGTACTTGATCTAGATACACTTCAAAAAAAAATATAGTATATTTTTGTATTCTTTTGTGTATATATTTTTTACGAATATCTTATTCTTTTAGGTGCATTTAAAAGTAAAAAGTATGTATAAAATATTTTAAATATTCATTAAAAATAAAAAAACTCATGAAAAACAAAAATTTAATTTTTAAAAAATCAATCAAAACCAAGCAAATAATTTTTTTTTTTTAACTGCCTAGATGCAAGATAAATATGTTTATTAATACCACTAATGGTGGAAGTCTCTTTGATCTCGTTGTCCTCTCTCTCTCTCTCTCATGAACTTAGACAAATACTATGAATTTCATCTTCGTATGTGTTAAATCAAAGATAAAAAAAAACATGGAGTACTATATCTTTCTATATGTTGTTAGAATCTAGTTTTAACTAAGGCATATTTTGAGAAGTGGATTAAAAGTGACTTCTTAATTTTTAACATACTTTCCTTTCTCACAAAAAAAACTAAAAAAAAAATCAATTTTTAACCATTTTTTCAAAACATCCCTAAATATCCCATAAGTTGTCTGATCGTATTCTGTTATTTTGTTAATTTTAAATTATTTTTTAAAAGGAAAAGGATCAAATCAATAAAAGTTTAAAAACAATTACCAATAAATGAAAATTTTTATAAATACTTAATAATTAAAATTATAATTTTTTTATAAGTTCATAATTATTTTTTAAAACGTACACTAATTTCTAATTTTTCCTTTTTATAATGAGTAGGGTTTAGCTCTGGCGATGGCATATCAATCAGTGACCAATCATCATAAACAGCGGCCACCAATAGATGATCTAGAGCCAAATGACTCAATCCCCAATCCCCCAAGGGCCACCATCCCTCCCCGCCAATTGCCTGGCTGAATCCTTCATTTCTCATATCTAGATTTATTATTCGGATATTTATTAATAAATCATATGTCACAAACAAGTATTTTAATTAGTTCTAATTTTTTTTTATTAATATGTTAAGTCATATTAGTGGAGAGTTTCTTTCTGTGTGATCTTATTTTTTTATTTTGATAGTATTTTGATGGACATCTATACCTTTTTATTAATGTGATTGGTATAATGTGATATTTCAATGTGACATGTATTAATTTGACACTTTAACAATATAACACTTTAAAAAAATTAAAAACTCCTTATTGTACTTTTCTTAAATGTGACAACGTGGTGGGTATGATGTGACACTCTAAAACTTTTACTCCAAAAAAAAATAAGAACTTTTTAGTGTACTTTTTCCTAATATAACAACGTGACGAGTATGATGTGATAATTCAAAAAAAATAAAAATTCCTTAATATACTTTTTCCAAATGTGATAACGTAGCGAGTATGATGTGACATTCTAAAAAAAATTAAAAACTCTTTAGTGTACTTTTCTCAAACATGACATGTGACACTTTAACGTGACAGGTATGATGTAACACTCTAAAAAAAATTAAAAACTTCTTAGTTTACTTTTTTTCAAACGTGACATGTGACACTTTAACGTAGCGGTTATGATGTGATACTCTAAAAAAATTAAAAACTCTTTAGTGTACTTTTTCCAAATGTAACACTCTAACGTGACAGGTATGATATGACACTAAAAAACTCTTTAGTGTAATTTTTTCAAATGTGACACTCCAATGTGGCGGACAAATGAGTCATTACAAATCCAAAATAACTAAATAAATCATAAGAAAAATATATGAGACTATATGGATTACAAGTCCAAAATATGAAACTTATTGGTCAATCTCCCTTTATTATTTTGTTTCTAGGAATCTCTTTGGTACATGCTATGAATCATACATACATTCTTATGTATTTTTGTAAAAATATTATATAATTTTTTGATAAAATTATAATAATTTGTTAAAAAATGAAGTAACTGATTTTTGGGGTTAGGTTATACATTTTTCATAATGTTGTCATAAAAATACGTAACATTATAAAAATAAAAATAAAAAATTGCATAATTTCATTCTAAATGATAAATTATCATAATTTTATTAAAAGATTACATAACATTTGCTAGAACATACATAAAATATACGTAAAAATGTGTAACAAGATTCATGTGTACTCATGGAAATTTCTTTCTTTTACATCATTTACAAATTATACTTTTGTTTTTAGAGATGTAATTGATTCAATGTGGTTGGAAATCTTTATTATAAAAAGTGTATTTCTTAATGTCATAAATTTTACATAATATTATGATCGGTTCAATAGTATTTATATAATATTTTTAAAACCGAAACACAAAAAATTATATAATAATGTGTTAATCATATCAAAATCTTCTTAATTATAATGTCCAAAAAATTATATAACAATCTTGAATTCTTGTCAACTTGGCAAGAATCACAGTCATGGATGAGCATTACCAACAGTCATATTTTGGCCAAATCCCTTTTTGGCACATATGCAGTTGACCACATCTACCCGCTTTAATAGTTACATCCACCAACATTCTTTTTCTTTCCATGTACGAGGCATTTACCAAGAGTCATCTTTTAGCGCATTGCCTTGTGGCAGTACTTAAGTACTTGCTTTGAAAAGTTGGGAGTTCAAGATCACCCAAAAAAAAAAAAAAAAAAAAAAAGGAGAGAAAAAAAAAAAAAAAAAAGGAAGAAAAAAGAAAAAAGAAAAAAGAAAGTTATCTTTTGGTGAAATTGTTGAAAAATTTGAATAAAAATTGACTTCAATGATTGTGTTGGTGTGTCCTTTTAGAGGATCACAACTCTTAGTAGATGGATGTAACCTTTTTAAAGAGTCGCGAAGGAATCTATAAATTCTATTACCCTCACTTCAGTCTCGGTATTGGATTTGACCATTTGATTATGCCATTTCCTTCCTCCCTATCTATATTTACCCTTCGTATTTTTTGAATAATGTTTTTCAACAAAGAAAATGCGTGTACAACGATGTTTTCCAGGCTTCCAATAGTAGTTTTGCTTCTACAAGATGTTGATTGTTGTATCTTGGGAAATAAATGTCCATTGAATCCTAAGCATCAATGGGACAACAAATTCTGTCTTAGTGAAATAATATCCAACATTAATCTCGATCTTTTTTTGTATCTGCAATCTTGTTATGTAAGTTTGTGTTTAATTTTTTGGACTTATTTTTAGTTAAATAAATAAGGTCTTTATCTTTGTTTGGTTTTTACCAAAATATTTTGTGGATATTTAAGTTATATTTTATATATAATTTTGGAATTTTTTTGAGAAATTTAGTCTAACATCCCTTTCCAACTTTTAGTAATGGGAGAGATCCACAATATTTCATTTTATAGTCTAAGGTCCCTGGATGAATAACTAGTTTACCTCCAACTTCATTGCCATTATCACGAGTGTCCCAAGCTTCACCATCCTCGAGAAGCTTCTTCTTCAAACCTTGCTTTCTGATCTCCTTCTCTTCACAGACCTTCATGATTGGACTCTCGTCTGGGATGTCGAAGTCGTCGTTCATCTCGTCGACTACAGGAATATCAAAATGCTCATCCATTTCGATACGAATCTAGAGAGAGAAACTGCTCACGAATAGAGAGATACTGTGTTTAAAGACCTCATTTAAAAGGAATGGCTAATATTAGAACTTCCTCTCTTTAAATTCTAGGGAGAGAAAGATCTCCTGATTCAAGTTTTCATGGATTTTAAGAGCTCAGCAGCACCAATCGGTGTGTGGTTAAAATTGAAAAGTACCATTGCTAAAGATTCAACAGTGAGTAAAATCTGACTTTGTGTTCATGAGCTTGATTCGTGTATTTCCATGGTTGTTCTTGGGTTTTGCCCTGTCCGGGTGATACCTTCTGTTTTTGTTGCATTTTTAGGTTCCTATAGCTTCTCTGCAAACGAATGACAGTCCTCCCTTCATTAATCAAATGCAGCTGAATGAATCTTAAAGGACTTCTAATCTTTCTCCTGAGCAAGAAGTACCTACTTTGATAATATGAAACTATGGTGGTAATGATATTACTGTAGAAGGGTCTTGGGACAACTAGACAACAAGGTAAGCTTAAGTCACTTTTACATTAATTTACACATCAGTACATTATAGAAAGAAAATTCATTGCATATGCCATATGGTCGAAGTCTGACATATATTATGTGGGTGATACCACTTTATATAGTGAAATTATGAAATAGCACTTATAATAGCATCTACTCATAGGAAAAAGCTGCAAAGATGTGGATACACTGAAAGGGGTTTCTTTCTGCTGCAGGATTTGTTTGGTGTAGATATGTGAATACATTAGAATCAATTTTCTTTGGTTTAAAATTGTGAACAAATATAGAGAAATTTGTGCTAAAATTTCTTTGGTTTAGTTAAAATTTCTTTGGTTTGGTTAAAACACGTTTCTCTGGTTTAATATTATAGCGATCCTGATTCAGACCCGACCCATTTATTACTTTTGAATCCGGAAAACCATATTCGTGATGGTCGTTCCTTTCTCTTTTTGTTTGGTTTTGGGTTCAGGGATTGACACCATCATTGTTGGTGTCGACACTACCTCCTTTTCTTTGTCTTGTTCTGCTCCTAGGGTCGACACCAACTTTGGAGATATTGACACCATCTTACTGCTATGTTCTTGGAATAGCTACTGAAATTTAGGGTCGACACCAACCTTGGTGGTGTCGACACTTGTCTTTTGTTGTTTGCCTCAAGGGTCGACACCAATCTCGGAACGGTTGACCCTTGTCTACTGCAGAATCTGGGTTTAGCTACTAAACTTTAGTGTCGACAACTTGGGTCCAAGCGTCAACACCTTGTCTGCTGCCAACATTGTCTTTTTATCAATTCTTTCTGAAGAGTCGACACCACCGACACAAAGGTCGACCCCTGTGAGTTCTTTTCTAGATTTTAGTCGATTTTGGGCCCTACTTCTTGAGGATTTTGACTTGTTCTTTTGGGTTAACATTGAGACTTTATTTCACTTTGACCTAGCACTATAAATAGGGCCCTCACGTAACATTTTCTTCACTTTTATCTTCTCTTTCCCCTCTCTAAACCATGAGTCACTCTTCTCTCTCTCTAAACTCACTTTTTCGCTCAAAGATTTCTAGATCTACTCACTTAGAAGCATCTCCTCACCTTGCTCCTTTCAGATTAAGTGTAGAGCTTGTCAAGGGCTTCATTTTGATCGGAGCAAATCGTTGTTTCGTCACCGTCAATTTTCGGACTTTTCTTCATTTTTCCTCTTTTAAGTTTGAGGTAGGGATTCTCTATAGTCTTTTATAATTTTTAACTTAGCTATTTGATTTTATAAAACAATCTTGTGATTTTGGAGGATTTTGAACAAACCTAGGGTTTTGGTTTAAAATCAAAGGAGGGGTTTTCAAATGGATGCATTGAAAATGGTTGTGGGATTGGAAATGAGGTTGATTTGTGATAGAATTGTTGATTTGATACTTGGAATGGATTTTGGAAGAAAAATAGGTTTTGTCCTAAATGTCTCAAATATTTATTTTGTATAAATAAAGGGAATCGATGTTGGACATGTGAAATTGGATGGATATTGTTATGGATGGTAGAGTTGGATATGTATTATCACTCACATCTTAAATTTTGAAAAGCTTATCTGTATTGGAGATTTTATAACTGTTTAGAAATATCTGTTTTGGGCTATCGGTAGAGGATATCTATGATTGTTGTAGAAATTGCATGAGGATTAGGTGAATTGAAACAAATTCCTCATCCATATGCATTGAACATTGTTGCTCATTTAATACATTACAAATGTATATGATTTTGAGAAAAATGGGTGAACGTAGGAAAGAGGTGTGTATCGCTAAATTATGTTGGCCTGTGTGTCCAGGGTAAAAGTCTCAAAAAATGGGCGTATACATTGGTATTGATTCTTGCGGACGAAATATCTGTAAAATGGCAATAGTAGCGCTTATATAGGCTATGTTTTCATGGGTGCTATTTGAAAGTTTCCCGTGGACGAAATATCCGTGAAAGGTTGTACTGGTTCGAGATTTCCCTATTGTTTTCTATTATAAAGGAAATAAATGATGAATTGTGATGTAAATTGGACTTGGCATGTGT